CTAAAGCGGGATTCACAGAAGCTTTTTTGCGATGCGACACGCGATGCGACAGACGCGAAACCGGGAAAACCCCAAATCGCAGCCATGTCGCACCCCACGCAACTGCCGCAACTGGGCCATCGCAGGCCATCGCAGAAGTTGAGCTTGGCTCAACTTTTGCGATGCGATGCGATGCGACAAGCGATTTGGTGTACGATTTTGACCTTTTCTACAGCAAAGTTGTACAAAGGTGCAAGAGTTGCCTATAATTTTTTACAAGTTGTGTCAAACCGCGCGAATATCATGGTGACGTACCCAAATCAGCAAAACTTTGTCGCATCGCTGACTTCTTCTGTGAATGGTATTTCGCGAGTTCGCATCGCACGCATCCATCGCAGATCGCGTCGCATCGCGTGTCGCAATGCAAAAAAGCTTCTGTGAATCCCGCTTTAAGCGGGATTCACAGAAGCTTTTTTGCGATGCGACACGCGATGCGACAGGCGCGAAACCGGGAAAACCCCAAATCGCAGCCATGTCGCACCCCACGCAACTGCCGCAACTGGGCCATCGCAGAAGTTGAGCTTGGCTCAACTTTTGCGATGCGATGCGATGCGACAAGCGATTTGGCGTACGATTTTGACCTTTTCTACAGCAAAGTTGTACAAAGGTGCAAGAGTTGCCTATAAATTTGTACAAGTTGTATCAAACCGCGCGAATATCATGGTGACGTAGCCAAATCAGCAAGATTTTGTCGCATCACTGACTTCTTCTGTGAATGGTATTTCGCGAGTTCGCATCGCACGCGTCCGTCGCAGATCGCGTCGCATCGCGTGTCGCATCGCAAAAAAGCTTCTGTGAATCCCGCTTTATCGCCTTCGAAAGAAGTGAATAAAGGAGAAATAATATTACTGTACCTGCTTGTGTTAAGTCTCATTCTCGCAGATTAGTTGTAAAATAGATTGTACATGCATCATTGTAGATTTGCTGTTCACAGTATTTCTCTCTTTTTTTTCTTTTTTTTCTTAGTCTCCCTTATTATTTTCTTATCATACAACAGCAGTACTCCCCATGGTCTTAAATGACCCGGGATGCTGCATAATACAAACACAAAACCAATAAAGCAACCCCCATAATAATAATAATAATAATAATAATAATTTGAAACTCGGATGTTGAGCCATAAATAACTGTAAAAGAGAAAAGGACATATGGATACGAGTTTTCGTTGCGCTTGCCTTCCCCTCTTTGGTCTTTCCATAACCTTGAACCTTCCAAGTTGGAAGGCTGTCGGTTAGCGCTACGGAGATGTGTTGAAGTTAGGTGTCAGGACGTCGAATGTCTCAGTACTCTGTCAGTTTTGTGCCTAGTTATTGCACTTTCTGACTGTATATAGTATCATGTTACAGTGATGGAGAGTTACTCTTAACTCGTATCCATATTTCCTTTTCTCTTTTACAATAATAATAATAATAATATTAAAGGGGAAGTTAAGGCAAAAATTAAAATTTCACCAGTTGTAGTCTTCGGGGTGCTGAGTCGAATGGTCTTGGTCCGAGAAAGCTGAGATGCTCCCTTCCTACTTGAATCCCAATCGAACTCGCGCACTTCCACTGAAACTGGGTGACTGCGCCCTACTAGATGGGGATTTGTATGCAAAATGTCACTAAAAGCGCCATTTCGTTCTTATAAAAGCACGGATGACCGCGATTGGCCCATATGTTGTAGTCGTTTGGACGCTGAGTCGACTGGTTTTGGTCCGAAAAGGCTGCGATGCAGCGTTCCTCCTATATTCCCAATCGAACATGGTTGAACAAGCGGTCACGTGCTCCTGCGTACACCAGTCACCTGGTCACCGTGCCTGCAGGGTACAACTTACTAGCCTGTTTGACCTTTTTTGGGTGCACTCCTGTCACTCGAGTTGAACCTTGGTGTGAAATTTGTCGCCTGCTGGCGTGGTGACCAGGTGATTTGGGCACCCAGGAGCACGTGACCGCTTGTTCAACCATGTTCGATTGGGAATAAAGGAAGAACGCTGCATCGCAGCCTTTTCGGACCAAAACCAGTCGACTCAGCGTCCAAAAGACTACAACATATGGACCAATCGCGGTCATCCGTGCTTTTATAAGAACGAAATGGCGCTTTTAGTGACATTTTTGCATACAAATCCCCATCTAGTAGGGCGCAGTCACCCAGTTTCGGTGGAAGTGCGCGAGTTCGATTGGGATTCAAGTAGGAAGGGAGCGTCTCAGCTTTCTCGGACCAAGACCATTCGACTCAGCACCCCGAAGACTACAACTGGTGAAATTTTAATTTTTGCCTTATTAACTTCCCCTTTAACTGGTTTGAGGGAAAGAGACAAACGGGAAAGGTCTGAAGAAAAAATTGACTGTCACCACCAGGACTCGAACCAGGGACCCTCGCTTGTAGCCAGCGATGCTCTAACCACTGAGCTATGGTGTAGTCCAGCAGAGGCCGTTCAACATTTTCTTCAGACTTCATAACTCACACTTCCTGTGAATCTACAACAAAATAATAATAATAATAATAATAATAAGTGTTTCGAGCCCTCCATAAGTTGTGCAGTCCACTACTCTCGACCTGCTTCCTCCCGGGGAATCGGGGATCCCTCGCACTGCCACTTCACAAACCTCAGCCCCTACTAGGCCTTGACGGATTATGCTAGCATAATTTTTCGCATAATTCCTACCAAAATCGAATAATCGCATAATTCGAGGCAAATTGCATACGAATCGCATAAATTGGAATAATCCGCCTGTTCGCATCAAATTCCATACAGTTGTACAATGTTCTACAAGTACAAGTACAAGTAGATGCACCAGGAAGTCGTAGGTTTGCGACTCCCTTGGTAACATGTCCAGTCCACACTACAATTAGTCTGTCCCCGGGAAAAATTGCAATTCCACGGCCGCGTTTTTTTCCGCGTTTTTTGCGATTTTTAAAAGAACGCGTTTTCCGCGATTTTCCCGCATTTTTTGAACTTTTTTGTTGCACTACACGTACGTACACACAGTGCACTGTTCGGTCAGCAACGTCTCATCGTGGCGGCTTTTTACTCAAATATGACGAGTGCTTACACCAGAGACTTGACTGATTGATTTCACTACATACTCACTGAAAATTGCCGCACATCAATATTATTCACCGCGTATTTACCGCATATTTACCGCAAATTCACCGCAAATTATGCCATATTATGCCGCGTTTTTCCCCGCGTTTTTTGCGATTTTTCCGCAATTTTCCCCGGGGACAGATCAGTGTAGGTCGTAGCTAGGTCGGACGGTGGGTTGACCCCGTTGAACTTTTGCTACTACATGTCCATGTACAGTACAACGCCCTCTACAAAAAATTCCCTGTTATTTTGCACAGAATCATCATAATATTAGTAGCATATGTGAGCATAATGCGGCATAATTATGATAACGTTTAGCATAAAAGTAGCATAATTCTGCAATTTTTTCAGCAATGCGAAAAGCATAATTTCACAAAAATATTAGCATAATCCGTCGAGGCCTAGCCCGTACACGCTCTCAATCCACTTTGTCACTTAGTCTTCCTTTAGTTTCTCGCCGCTATGGTTTATACTCGCTTAGCTTTCTTGGTTCTGATCGTTGGAATGCGCTTCCTGCTGATATTCGCACAATCTCCTTGCTCAGAATCTTCCGTTCATCTATTCAACAATTCGTAGGGTGCCCTGTAAAAAGGCCCTAGGCCTGTGGGACTGCCCTATTCAAAATTTAATAATAATAATTGGGGCTCCCCGCGTGCTAGAGTGTACGTGAAGTGTGTGGGTACAGTGAGGGCTGCGTCCCACCCGCCTGTGTCGATTCACAGGAATTGTGAGTTACCTGGTTACGAAGTCTGAAGAAAATGTTGAACAGTCTCTGCTGGGATGACGACTACACCATAATGTCTCAGTGGTTAGAGCATCGCTAGCTACAAGCAAGGGTCCCTGGTTCGAGTCCTGGTGGTGACAGTCAATTTTTTCTTCAGACTTTTCCCGTTTGTCTCTTTCCCTCAAACTAGTGAAAATAATAATAATAATAATAATAATGGAAGTTTCCGGAGGAGGAAGGAGGAAACTGTAGTTATCACCAGGGAGTCGTAAAATACCGGGAGGCGACACGCCACACATTTCACGATCCGAGGATTGCCGCACTCGACCCGCGAAATTTGAAGCGTGATTGAAACGTCGTCGTCATCTTCTTTTTCTCAATTGTTTTTGCTATATGCTTCGAGGCTATTCTGGATCTCCAGAGCGAAAGGTGGTTGTTTCTGATACGTACCACGCATTACCTTAGGTTGAGCCGTGGCTTTTAATTTTTTTTGGAAGTTCACTGCTTTGGAGACGACGGAATGTCAAGGTAAGTTATTCACGAAATGTACTCAAATTTGAATTGAGTCAATGCGAATGACACCCTGTTTTCGGAATAGTTCTCCACTAAACACACCATGCCCATGGCCCCTTCATGTTGTCCAAGTTCCATTCTAGGTTTGTGTGAAGTTTCGAGATGAAGTTCGACGATGTACTCACCTTTCCATGGAAGGGAAGAAAAAGTAGCATATCAAACAGAATCCATGCAGTATTTGATGCCACTATCCTCATTCTTCTGCATTCAAAGTGTTTCACATCTATATGGCCCATGAACTGCAAACAATATTTGTCATTTCTTAACTGTTCATAGCTGTTCATAACTGTTCTGAACACATTGCCTTCAGGAAACGTAAGGCCGAGTCGCCTCACCGACTGAGCAAAGTTCTCTGCGACGAAAGTCACACTATCGGCGAATGCACTCAAGGTGAATACCCGTCAATATCCTGTATACTGCTTGTACCGCTTATCACAGTAGCATACACACAAGCACACACACACACACACACACACACACACACACACACACACACACACACACACACACACACACACACACACACACACACACACACACACACACACACACACACATGCATGCTCGTGCACACCCAAGCGCAAAATTCACATATCACTGGTTCAGTTGTTTTTATCTGTGTCGTATTTTGTCTTATACAGAGCTTCCGAGCCACGCCGAGTCACCTGACCAACTGAAGAAGGTTCTGTGCGACGAAAGTCACACTATCGGCGAATGCACTCAAGGTGAATACCCTGTGGACTGCTTATACCACTTATCACAGAAGCACACACACACACACACACACACACACACACACACACACACACACACACACACACACACACACACACACACACACACACACACACACAAGCGCAAAATTCACATATCACTGGTTCAGTTGTTTTTATCTGTGACGTATGGTGTCTTATACAGAGCTTCCGAGCCACGCCGGGCCACCTGAATTCTCCAAACAAGGCTGAAGGCTTGTCACGGCATCCTTGCCAAATAAAGGTATAAGCTGCAGCAAGTTGTCGTTGCGACACCTTGCTCCTTCCAGCTCACGCCGCACGGCCACCAAGCACCAACCACCATGGTACTTTTCAGCAAGGTGAGACAAATTGTCAATCACCGGTTCGGGGATGGCTTCAGCAGCTTTGGATGGTGCTATTGACGCTTTCCTGATAGCAGCGGCAGCCGTGGCATGCAGGTAGCTTATCAGATTCGCTAGCACTGCAGATGTAACTTCCAAATCTGAAGAAGAGAAAAGAAAAAGACAACATATAAGGACTGGTGGTTGCAGAGACTGTACTAGTATTCAAAAGCCAGCGTTTGCATACCTAGTCTGCATACCTAGTCAGAAGCCAATTTTTTTCCAACATGCATGCAAAACGCACTGACCTTCACAATTGATTTTCACTTCGGGAATAGCTGTTGCGATGACGGACAGCATTTGTTGCCATGCTTGCGAAATATCAGCACCCTTGCATGCCTTCAGCTGGCACACTTCCTGGCGTAGCAGATTTGCAGTACCTGATGCCTTGTGTAACCGTGTCATAATAACATGCAGGAATGACTCCGTCGCCTCAGTAACACTCGCCTGTCTCATTGTCAGCAGTTTGCAAATTCCATGGATCACTGCACCTTCCATAGGCCTGTACACCATGATGGCACTACCACTCTTACATCGATCTGCACATAGACAAAGTATGGTTTGAGGATGGAGGTTTACATCATCTACGGTGATGATACATACTAGGTACACACGTAAATTTTCAGGACTTCAATAAATATCCTGTCACAGTGAACAGACAATGCATCGTGGGCAGACTAGGATGAAAAGGATGGTGTCGACCACCTAATTTATCGGGTCAGTTCGGGCACTTAGGTATGCTACAGATTATACATTCGTGTCCACAAGGAAGAGACAAAAACATGCAAACGAAAGAATCTCACCTGTAGCCCACAGCTGAACATCCCCACAACTCAGGTCACCAAGTGAATACGTGGCGTCATCTACATCTTCCACGGTGGACTCATCACTTTGGCAGTCATCTCTGTCAAGCTCCATCATCCTTTACTTCGAAGGCCAAGGCACAAAGTATTATTACTTAGAAAAACAAAACGAACTGCTGACACTGGATTCGTTGTGTGCAGGATAATTTTATTGAGTTTTCAAATTTTTTGGACCAAACAGCGAACGCGTCCTTTTGCATGACCTGCGCCGCTTTGACCTCATGGGAAGTCCCTCGCCATGCAGCGCGTGAGGTCTCAGCACTCGTGCCCGAGCTGAGGCAATCATCCGACGCGGTTGTGCATCTCGTGTCGCCTCCCGGTATTTTACGACTCCCTGGTTATCACCAACCCTCACCGCGCCCAGCTCACGCCGCTACGGCGTGCGACCTGAGCTGGGCGCCCTGCCCAGTATGGAACTGTCCTCAAGCCAGTCACGTATTTGGCAGCCCAGTGAGCTGTCTACCGGATCGCAGCGTTTAGAAGCGCCAAATGCGGCAGGGCCAGTCTCAGGCTGGTCGCGTAGGCGGCAGGCCGGCGGGCGACCGGCAAGGCTGCATTCGCATTTGGATCACCGAAGTGATACAGGTGCTTCGACGGCACTCCGTGGCGCATCAAGGAGGCATCTGGGGCCCAGGCAGCCCGCCCGTAAGCGCACCACCGTATCAGGTATGCGCAGGTGGAGCAGCAGAGCAAGATGTGTGCCGGACACTCACCATATCCGGTCGACTGCATGGTTGTGCGACTTTACACAGCCGGCACCAGGGAGTCGTAAAAGCCCGGGAGAGGACACGGGATGCGCGCACGTGGACGATGTTTGCCTCGGCCAGAAAGTGAAGCACGCTAGGCCGGCGCGGCCGGATCTGCTCGATCCACGGCGCTGTGCTTGTCTTCAGGGCAGGGAGTCCTAAAATACCAATATTTTACAACTCGTTGTTGACACCATTATCCGAAACTGGTGGCGAAGGAAGGATAAACATGATTGTATGTCTGTCAGACTCAGTACAGGGGTGGGGAGTTGAGTGTGTGTGTGTGGGGGGGGGGGGGGGGGGAGGCGTGTGTATGTGTGTGCTTGTGTGTGTGCGCGCGAACGTGTGTGTGCATTTTTGTGCACAATTCCGTTATGAAGTACAAATGATAGGTTTACCTTTTGTACACTCGCCAAGACTTCCGTTTCCTAAACGGCTCAAGTCACCGCGTACTCAGTATACGAGTAGAAAAGTGTTGAAATTATCAAGATTTATAAATAACGACCTGCAACCATGTACAATGTAGATAGATAGGGAACACACATTGATTGTTTTTAAAAGAATCCAGGCATTATCATGAATCATGGAACGAGTGCGTAATAATGCTCTATGTTGCGTTTTGACGATGCTGAAGGAAGGGAGCCGTCGCGATTTACTCACAACACACGCACAGAAGTCCACTCGACTGCAATTTCTGACACAAATTCATAAATCCACGAGTACGCCGAGGAAGCTCAGCGGATCTCCACAAGAACTTTCGCCCATCACCTGCAATGGAATATGGGCTGTATGATACGACCAGTGGTTAACACGGGAAGTGGCGTCATTTTCCACAAATCTCGTTTCATTCACAACCATTTGACTGCAATTCAGTGCAATTTCTGCCACAAATTCAACTCCACGAGTACGAGGAAACTCAGCGGATCTCAACACGAACGTTGGCCCATCACCTGCAATGGAATATGGGCTGTATGCTACGACCAGCGGCTAACACGGGAAGTGGCGTCATTTTCCACAAATCTCGTTTCATTCACAACCATTTGACTGCAATTCAGTGCAATTTCTGCCACAAATTCAACTCCACGAGTACGAGGAAACTCAGCGGATCTCAACACGAACGTTGGCCCATCACCTGCAATGGAATATGGGCTGTATGATACGACCAGCGGCTAACACGGGAAGTGGCGTCATTTTCCACAAATCTCGTTTCATTCACAACCATTTGACTGCAATTCAGTGCAATTTCTGCCACAAATTCAACTCCACGAGTACGAGGAAACTCAGCGGATCTCAACACGAACGTTGGCCCATCACCTGCAATGGAATATGGGCTGTATGATACGACCAGCGGCTAACACGGGAAGTGGCGTCATTTTCCACAAATCTCATTTCGTTCACCCCAACTCAAATAAAAGTGAAGTACAATTAGGGATTTGTCTTGCATTTCCATCGCCTCAGAATAAATTAACTTCGATAAACTGAGAGAGAATGAGTGAGGCAGCTGGAAGATGAGGATGAAAATGGAGATCAGAAGACTCGACGGAGCAATCGTCTCCGTGCTCTAAGAGAAATCGGAGAATGTCCCAATTAGTATTTCAAGAAGACATCACAATTTTCGAAAATAATAATTTCCTTGCCTCGCAACACCGTTCCCTGGCAGCGTTCCCCGGCAGCGCGAGGCAAAGATGTTTTCTGGGAATGTGTGCCGTGTCCTCTTCCGGGCTTTTACGACTCCCTGGCCGGCACTCATTACTTGCTATTGCTTGCAGCAGGCCAGAATTTTTTTCTTTTTCGCTCTTTCCCTTCTTCCAGGCACGGCTTCATGTTAGAGCAGTAAATTGCAGTTAGGGACTCAGCTGAGTCAAGCTGGACTCAGCGTGTCAAGTTTGGCATAATACAATAAGCGCGCTATCCCCAAACAGTTGTGTGGTTATTGTGTGAGTGTATGTGCAGGAGTCCGCGGTCACGTGAGGGGGGGAGTGATAAATAATAATAATTTGGAAAGGATTGGGAGAACTTCAAATTCAAATGATCAGTCGGGGAAGTGAACTGCCTGAAAAGAGAAAAAAACGCCAGACCCACCAGGACTCGAACCTGGGACCCTGCTTGTCATGAGCAATGCTCTAACCACTGAGCTATGGGACCAGGCTGAACCTAGAAGGCGCTGACAAGTTTTTCACTCCAAAGGCAGCTCACAACACGTGCCACACATACTGATGGCACTTGGGTCTTTTTCCCTCCCCCAGGGGACCAACCACGGTCAGTTTCTGGAAACTACCAGAGGTGAAAGAAAGTGATTAAATTTGGAAAGGATTGGGAGAACTTCAAATTCAAATGATCAGTCGGGGAAGTGAACTGCCTGAAAAGAGAAAAAAACGCCAGACCCACCAGGACTCGAACCTGGGACCCTGCTTGTCATGAGCAATGCTCTAACCACTGAGCTATGGGACCAGGCTGAACCTAGAAGGCGCTGACAAGTTTTTCACTCCAAAGGCAGCTCACAACACGTGCCACACATACTGATGGCACTTGGGTCTTTTTCCCTCCCCCAGGGGACCAACCACGGTCAGTTTCTGGAAACTACCAGAGGTGAAAGAAAGTGATTAAATTTGGAAAGGATTGGGAGAACTTCAAATTCAAATGATCAGTCGGGGAAGTGAACTGCCTGAAAGGGTCTGGCGTTTTTTTTCTCTTTTCAGGCAGTTCACTTCCCCGACTGATCATTTGAATATGAAGTTCTCCCAATCCTTTCCAAATTTAATCACTTTCTTTCACCTCTGGTAGTTTCCAGAAACTGACCGTGGTTGGTCCCCTGGGGGAGGGAAAAAGACCCAAGTGCCATCAGTATGTGTGGCACGTGTTGTGAGCTGCCTTTGGAGTGAAAAACTTGTCAGCGCCTTCTAGGTTCAGCCTGGTCCCATAGCTCAGTGGTTAGAGCATTGCTCATGACAAGCAGGGTCCCAGGTTCGAGTCCTGGTGGGTCTGGCGTTTTTTTCTCTTTTCAGGCAGTTCACTTCCCCGACTGATCATTTGAATTTGAAGTTCTCCCAATCCTTTCCAAATTTAATCACTTTCTTTCACCTCTGGTAGTTTCCAGAAACTGACCGTGGTTGGTCCCCTGGGGGAGGGAAAAAGACCCAAGTGCCATCAGTATGTGTGGCACGTGTTGTGAGCTGCCTTTGGAGTGAAAAACTTGTCAGCGCCTTCTAGGTTCAGCCTGGTCCCATAGCTCAGTGGTTAGAGCATTGCTCATGACAAGCAGGGTCCCAGGTTCGAGTCCTGGTGGGTCTGGCGTTTTTTCTCTTTTCAGGCAGTTCACTTCCCCGACTGATCATTTGAATTTGAAGTTCTCCCAATCCTTTCCAAATTTAATCACTTTCTTTCACCTCTGGTAGTTTCCAGAAACTGACCGTGGTTGGTCCCCTGGGGGAGGGAAAAAGACCCAAGTGCCATCAGTATGTGTGGCACGTGTTGTGAGCTGCCTTTGGAGTGAAAAACTTGTCAGCGCCTTCTAGGTTCAGCCTGGTCCCATAGCTCAGTGGTTAGAGCATTGCTCATGACAAGCAGGGTCCCAGGTTCGAGTCCTGGTGGGTCTGGCGTTTTTTTCTCTTTTCAGGCAGTTCACTTCCCCGACTGATCATTTGAATTTGAAGTTCTCCCAATCCTTTCCAAATTTAATCACTTTCTTTCACCTCTGGTAGTTTCCAGAAACTGACCGTGGTTGGTCCCCTGGGGGAGGGAAAAAGACCCAATTGCCATCAGTATGTGTGGCACGTGTTGTGAGCTGCCTTTGGAGTGAAAAACTTGTCAGCGCCTTCTAGGTTCAGCCTGGTCCCATAGCTCAGTGGTTAGAGCATTGCTCATGACAAGCAGGGTCCCAGGTTCGAGTCCTGGTGGGTCTGGCGTTTTTTTCTCTTTTCAGGCAGTTCACTTCCCCGACTGATCATTTGAATTTGAAGTTCTCCCAATCCTTTCCAAATTTAATCACTTTCTTTCACCTCTGGTAGTTTCCAGAAACTGACCGTGGTTGGTCCCCTGGGGGAGGGAAAAAGACCCAAGTGCCATCAGTATGTGTGGCAAGTGTTGTGAGCTGCCTTTGGAGTGAAAAACTTGTCAGCGCCTTCAAGGTTCAGCCTGGTCCCATAGCTCAGTGGTTAGAGCATTGCTCATGACAAGCAGGGTCCCAGGTTCGAGTCCTGGTGGGTCTGGCGTTTTTTTTCTCTTTTCAGGCAGTTCACTTCCCCGACTGATCATTTGAATTTGAAGTTCTCCCAATCCTTTCCAAATTTAATCACTTTCTTTCACCTCTGGTAGTTTCCAGAAACTGACCGTGGTTGGTCCCCTGGGGGAGGGAAAAAGACCCAAGTGCCATCAGTATGTGTGGCACGTGTTGTGAGCTGCCTTTGGAGTGAAAAACTTGTCAGCGCCTTCTAGGTTCAGCCTGGTCCCATAGCTCAGTGGTTAGAGCATTGCTCATGACAAGCAGGGTCCCAGGTTCGAGTCCTGGTGGGTCTGGCGTTTTTTTCTCTTTTCAGGCAGTTCACTTCCCCGACTGATCATTTGAATAATAATAATAATAATAAAATGAGAAC